TGTGTGGATGTCTCTACGTCTGTGTATGTATGTTTGTGTGTGTGTGCATGTGTGCGTGTGCAGGTGTGCGTGACACTGCGTGTGTGTGTGTGTGTGTGTGTGTGGAAGTCTGCTCTCAGCAACGCCGCCACGTGTATCAGGCTGGGCAAGGCAGTGTGTACAGGCCCCTTTTTTGTACAGCGTGGCCGACGAATTTGCCGTTGACAGGTGGAAAGCAGAGGAGAGGGAGAGGGGAGAGGTCTAACTTAGTGATTTGGGGTATTTTCTAGCATCGGTGGGAAGAGACTCAGTACTGATGTTACTCGCTCGATGGGAAGACGCAACACCGAAGCACAAAAATTAGATATTAGATGAGATGAGACGGAAGAGTTGGACAAGTTAAAACATAGTCGAAGCTGAAATTTGTAAATGTATATAGAGAGAGATCACTCCTGTCTTTGCATTTGTTCTGCGTACTAGATCTGATGAGAATAAACCATGCAATTGCTACTCCTCGTACTCGATGGTCGGTGGGAAACTGCGACTATTTAAAGAAGAAGAAGAAGAAGAAGAAGAAGAAGACGAGTGGAGAAGTCTTAGACGAGTGTAGAGGGGAAGTGTAGAGGGGAAGAGGGAAAGAGGGTTCCTACCCAAAAGCTTAGTCATTGCAAGCTTTTGGGCTCGGTCAGCTCAGAGTCTTTCCTCCATTGCCTTCCATCGCAATCATGCCATCCATGCCGTCTTCTTGTTGTGTTCCGAGCGGAAAAGCTACCATCGTCAACAAGGGGCATGTGTGAAAATGAAGGAAGGTAAGTGGAGGGCTGACGGGAACCACCCACCCACCCGACGTTTGGTGTGTGCTCTCTGCTTTCCTGCCTACGTTCTTTCTTCTCTCTTTTTGAGTTTTGTCGATTTTGGTTTTCAATCGTGTTTCAAACCTCACAGACACACGCAGAGAGAGAGAGAGAGAGAGAGATGGTATTGGAGATCAGATGGACTTGATGATTCAATTTTCCACGTGGTGGATTGGTTTTACGGTTAGCGGATAAGTTCCGTTTTGTTTTTCTCTTTTTTCTTTCTTATTTTTTCCACCTTGTTTTTTTCTTGGTTCTGTCTTTTTTTTTTTACCTTGTTTTTTAGGTCAATCGAGGTCAACGATTGATTCGATGTATTGGGCAACAATTTGATTGTGTTTATCCTTTTTTTTTTTTTTTTTTTTTTTTTTTTTTNTTTTTTTTTTTTTTTTTTTTTTTTTTTTTTTTTTTTTTTTTTTTTTTTTTTTTTTTTTTTTTTTTTTTTTTTTTTTTTTTTTTTTTTTTTTAATCATTGAGTTTTCACGACGACGGTTTTCTCGATGTGCGGCCGACTTTTTTTTTTTTTTTTTTTTTTTTTTTTTTTTGAGGGTTCTTCACTGTCCATTAAAATTAAGTTCGCAAAACAAGTCTGTAAACACCATGGAAATTCATTTGTTTTCGTTTTTTTTTTTTTTTTTTGGTTTAAAAGGGGTCCTTGAATCTAGTAGGAAGCATTTGAAAAGAATCATTCATCGAGAAAAGGACGACACGCATAAATCGAGAAATGGTCCAAATTTATATGTCTTTCTTTTTTTTTTCTTTTTTTCTTTTTTTTCAACAATGGCAGCTAAATGTCATATGATCCAGGCACTGAGGCCTGATTCATATGACGGCTGCTTTAGAACTATAAAAGCCGAAAAACGGGTCCGGCATCCCTTACATCATAGAAAAAAGTTGAACACACCCAGGAAAATATCCTGTTCCATTTACCCTAAATTAATCTAATGTGTGAGTTATCCCTAATCTATCAGTATTCAATCCTACATCCCTCACAAAGGCCAACCATTAACCCTGGTCACAGTCAGCAGTGAAAACTGAAAACTCAAAAAATCAGCAACTCAACACAGAAACATAGACAAATGCAATGTCCCTAAGTCGTACTAAAACTCACATATGCAGACTCAGTGACCTAGGGAAGAAAACATAGAGGAAGAAAACATAAAATAAGGCATAAAACCAACAAGCAGAAGTTAGTACGAAAAGGCAGCAACTGACCATCATTGTCTTAATCAGTACAAAAAGGCAGCAACTGACCATGGTTTTCATAGGAAGAAGGTAGAGAATTTCAGTTCCGGGTACAGTGGAGGTTGCTGTTGGACCCTCGGCAGTGGAATTTCCGCCCGAACCATTGGGGGCGTGATTCTCTCTCCCCTTCTGGTTGCTGAATTCCGAAGTGTCCATAATGTCCAGAGAATGGAGGCTCTCGAAGTTTCTTCTGCATAGCCAAGTTGTCCCGGAACTTGCGTACGTCTCGATGCAGACCCTAGCAGCACAAAATCATCAGTCCATCTTTCAGCTGTTGCCGGCACGGGCACTGATGAACTCCTCCACCATGCCCACAAAGGGCGGGCCAAGTCACAAAACAAACAGAAGTGTTGCAGGTCTTCCAATATCACTCCCGGACATAGCTCACAGCATGGCGAGGCCGTGTGCGTTTTTCTGGCACACCACATCGCTGTGGGAAGGGCTTGATGAGCGATCAACCAGAGGAGTCCTGAATGCTTCACCACTGACAAGTCCATTAACAGTTTCCAAAAAGCTGGCAATGCAGCTGCTAGACGCGGCAAAGAATCCATTATCCAGTTTGTGGCCATCCATGTCCTGGCCACAATCCAGTTTACATCCAGTTTTGGCCTAGCAATTTGATACCCTATTCTAACTATGTAATCATACAGCGGTACATAACCTCGTCTTTTAAGTGCATGATCCCATTCCCAATTTCTTGGGTCTACTGGCAAGCTATAGGCCGGTACCGACAAGACGTAGGGACGACATTTGTCATTGGTTTCCGGCACACACACAGGAATCAACTGGTCTAGTGAGGAAAAAGCTCTGTGGGGGCAGTGTCGTTGCATCACTGGGCCCAGAGCGGTGGCTGCATTCTCGGATTGCCAGGCGGAAGCATCGATGACCTGCGCAGGTGAGATAGAATCCACCCTCCAGATGCAGCCAGAAATATCATTCTCTGCAGATCTATACCGCATCCCTGCTGCAGGCTGTATTCCCAGCCGGAATACATCAACCCATTCCTGGGGGATCGCGTGTTGGAGCATCTGTAAGTGTTGTTGCTGGCGCCAGAGTCCCGTAAGTTTGGCACTGAGTTGGTCTTGTGGTTTCCAGTCCTTTGTCACCATATCCCAGATGTCTGCAAGAGTACCCACCCCTCGTGACAACCAAGCATCCCCAAAGGCTCCGACCCCAAAGCAGGGGAACGGGGTGCCTTGCAGGGATAAGACGTATGGGTTGTCAAAACACGGTTGGGTGAGCAGTCTTTCTGCAGACTTATCTGGCTGTTTCAAATGCGGTATGCAATTTTTCCATGCTGCCAAAATTCCACTCCACAATCCTTGAGTAGGGCGGTGTGAGAATTGGCAACCACAGATAACGGCAGTCTTCCCAGCCCCAATGGTTTCGCAAAATAAGCTCTGCCAATTGTCTCCATGTGGGAGACGGCCCTTCAAGGATGGCCCAGATTATCCATCTAACCAAAAGTGCTCCGATTTGTCTTTCGGGATCCAAAATCGACATTCTTCCTTGCTGCTTAGGTTGGGTCAGTACATCCCAGGCCACTTTTGGAAGGAAATTGGCCTCCCCTCCATCCTCCTTCCAGATGTAATGTGTTAGGATGCAACGGCTAAGTTGCAGTGTAGGCACATCGAGTTGGCGGATGGCTCGCTGATACCAGATTGTTGATAATATCGCGTTGTTTATTACCAATCCTCTGCCTGTGAGACTGACCCCTCTAACTCGGAACCATGGCCGAAGGGCTTTCCTCAAGGAAGAGATTACTGGAGTCGAGTCCAACAATATTTGGGGTGAAAACGTGACCCGGTGGCCTAGCAAAGTCTGTGACGCGCTAACCTCACGCCCTGCGCTGTCTTCCGTTCGGAGTGTTTAATTTGCGGAAGGGGGCCCCGGAAAGATAGCGAGATGGGGTGTGCCAAGGACCGAAGTCCCCCGTGCTGGTCCGACTTGGTAAGAGGGGAGGGTCCGTCACTATGCGGATGTCCAGGGAGAGAAAGGCGCGTGCGGGACGTTCGGCGCGGGGAAATTCAATCCAAAAAGTATCGTTGAACTTCCCAGCGGGCCGTTGCCCTTCGCTTCGCGTGACAGGGGGCGGGTACACATTTGGTGTCTCGTTTTCAGATCAAGTCGCCACGCCGCTCATTGCACAACTGAAAGTCTGACGTGGAGGGTCTCAACCGCGTAGCTCATTCCTACTGTTCGTCCTCACTCCATACACGGTAGTGGAAGCCTTTTGATTGGTAACACTCGAGGCGACAACAGTCGCTGCACAGTGTTAGGCCAATGGGGCGCCACTGCCCTCCACGGATTGACAATCAATTCCTTGAATGGTAACAGCGGTGAATAAGGCGGAAAATGCGTATCAATGATGACAAAGCCCGCTCCGACAAATCCTGAGCATCGAGTTTCGGGAGGGAAATATTATCGGCTGCCGATCTTGGCGATGGCTTCTCGTACGTCCCACTTGCATACACGTGTCCTTTTCTCGTTATACGGGAAGGGACGTGGTGGGAGTACGGGAGAACGACACCCAGTCGGAGTGAGGCCTTCAGTCCACATGGCAATCTACTCAATCGCAAGAGTCGGTATCAGTCATTCATCTTTAATCCCCCGTCTATCGATCGGACTTTTCTGCTTATCCCCTTTATTTATCCGAAACATGCGAAGCAGAGTGGGAGCATTCCTTCGTTTCTCAGGAAGAGAGAGAGAGAGAGAGAGAGAGAGAGAGAGAGAGAGAGAGAGAGAGAGAGAGAGAGAGAGGCAGAGAGTTTGCAATGGTCTATGGTTTCGCCAAGCAATTCTCATACAGGAATCGTGGGGACAGTACGCACATCAGGTGGGACACGGTCGGTGATCCACGCATGCAGGCCGCACGTGTCGCCCTTCTTCTCTCTGAGCAGACAGATCGCCTGTCAGGTTGTGCGCAAGGCATTTCGAATCACATTATCGATAGATCTAAACACTCTTGCATTCTCGAACAAAATCCCAACAACATTGTCCTTGCTAATAATTCAATCATTCTCATACATCCTATTGCAACAACTCTTCAGCCTAATCAAAGACCAGTCCATCAACGATAATCTTCATTTGTGGTGACTCGTCGTGGAAGGTGGGAAAATGGCAACCATACATTACTCGGTTTTCCTCGTGCTCTGCACCCGTGCCCCGTCATCATCCCTTGGCTAATCAAAACGCCGGCCCATTAGGCAACCATTCCATGACAAACATACATAGTCATAGGGTAAGCAGGGAGAAGAAGTGCGAAATGGATACAATAAATGACAATCATACAAAAACCCAGAGATAGAAGAATTTTCGGCTTAACTGCCGTGAAGTTACACTCGCACCAAAGAATAGACTCAAAACAAGGAGTCGCATCCGTCGTAAAGATCCGTCATGGCCCCGGGTCAT